ATTCACCCGAAAAATACGATCAAGTAACTTGTATGTTAAATTGAAATCTGGTTAGACAAAGAATGCCTTACTCTAACTAGCTTTTGGAACTCTTCTTTTCGTGAATTTACTGAAACCTACTGAACCCTCCACTGCAGTTTTCATTCTACTGGTAGCTCATCAGGTAGAAGCAATTTCCAAGTTGCCATCAAAATCGTGTTCTAATTGGACGCCAAATTTTGTGCAGCTGATCAAGTACACTCTCATGAAGAGAAGACTCAAATGAATCCCGGTTGAATCTGTCGTTTATGGTAGTCTTTGGCTGTTCATTCCTTCGTGGCTACACAAAACCGGTCATCGGATTTCGAGTCTTGGGGTACACAGCCTATAGCTGTTAACCAAAGAGTTGCGTGACTGGTCTCTCCTGGTGACGTTTGATGAGGAAGTAGAGACCTTGTATTCAGGTGATACACATCCGGTGAGCATTCACTTGTGTTTCAAAATATAGTTTTCAAAAGCGTGGCTATTTATGCTCCCGTCCAACTGTTGAAGTGGATATTTCTCACGCTAGAAGATTGTACCTATCTACAACGTGACAAAGAACTGCTCGTTGGTGAACAGCGGCGTGTTCTGGGAGGATCGGTATCGTAAAATCTCGTGAAAAACTGTCCGAAAAATACAGGAAGGGTCCACTTTTTAGACAATGACAAGAACAACAACTAAGCCAGCATCACCTTGAGCCTCATCAAGACTAACATCGAGAAAAAGTTGGATATTTCCATAAAGGAAACTACTCAGCCCACGACAGCCCACGACCGGTTTCGCCCTTCTTGGGGCTCATCAGGTAGATGTCGTGAAAACCAAATGATTGTAATCCTCGAAAACAGTCTAATTTTGGGTTCAAATAGATCATAGGGTTGACGGAAACTCGGGGACTGCGTCTACCTGATGAGCCCCAAGCGGAAGGGCGAAACCGGTCGTGGGCTGTCGAAGAGCTTTCAGCAACCTTGTGAGTAGTTTGCTTTATGAAAATATACTGCGATATCTCGAATATCGTGCCAACTGAAACATGAGGTGGCCTGTGTGCAGCACATTCAGTTTTAGAATATCATAAACGAGGGATTCAGTTGAATTGACTTCCAATGAATGTATTTGTCGAAAAAGTTGGATACTTTGGTCTCGGGCAGCATCCACCCTAGTCCGTCAGATAGAAGCCTTTGATTTGGAATAAATTGAAAAATGAGGCAACCCACCGGGCCCGCACAACTTACTTTTCTCTTTCTTCTTGTCAACTCTTCCATACTTCGTGCAGATGACTCGCTCAACAGACCCTTGACTGGAAACACCACTTTGGGCACAGGTGCATTACTCTCGGACAAAGGTTCTGTGGCTGTATCGTCCAGTTCCACATATCGTAAGTCCTGGTCAAATTTCCTTCGATCATTTGCCGACCGAAACTGAGGGAGTCTGGGTGCGTGTTGTAGACCTTCCAAACTTAGTCCAGACTGGGTTTCAGTCGGAGTAAAGTTAGACGGTTCGGTAGCCTTTAATCTAGCAAGATATTCCATCGATTCGAACCGGTTTGTCTGACCCAGTGACATGGGCCAAGTCCTTTCGGACGGGCCACCGGGAGCCGAACTACCATCACACCAAATATCTTGGTGCATGTTGAAAGGGGTCTATCGGCTTAACATGACGTTTATTTTAGAATGACAAAGTATAAGAACGGAGGCCTGAGTGTCTGCACAAACCCACGCGCACACAGTGTGTAGAAACATGCATCTACCGGGTCTGTTTGCACACGCTATTTCGAGGGTGCACCGAGTCTTTAACGCAGCATACACAAACAAGTGCAATTCAGAACGGTAAACCTGGTACAGTGTGTTCACCAGACAATGATGTATCGATTTGGCATGCTTCGACTGCTTGCGCTTCACTCGAGACCGCTGTTCACATATGTACGTGTGTGTGTGTGTGTGTGTGTGTGTGTGTGTGTGTGTGTGTGGAGCACCTTCTACGGGTGTGTGATCGCTTGACCACAAACAGTGCATATACATGAGTAGTACATATGGTGGTTCCCCAGCGTCGTGATTGGTTGACGACGCTGGCACATGCCTTAAGCGACACTAACCAAAATAATGCTGGTGATTTTCTACGCTTCCGGTGGTGGAAATCTTGAACTATTCTGGAATTCATTTGTGCCAGCGGATAGTACGTTGCGGTTTTTGTTTTGTCCAAAAGTGGCAAACAGTTCTGCTTTTGGGGAAGTTTTCACAGGCCCTTTAAAAAGCGAAACTGTGCCAGACCCGAGGAAAATGATCTGATTAACGCAGCTTCTCAGCTGCGTTGTGTGGAGCAAGAACAATTTCGTAGCTGACCAGCACACACTTTCAATTTAGGAAGGAAAATCTTTACAAGTAGGCACATGGGCTATTCAGTCCATAACCATGGAAGCTTGTTTATATCGATGTCCACATTGAATTGAGCAACCGTTTCGGTGACGCGATGTTTGAAAATTGTTCTGGTCGCCATGAGAACTAAATCTCTGGAAGTGACTGGTGGTTGGATCAGTTGTCAGAACTGGGAGTGGTCTACTTCACACAGATGTTACTTGATCTAAATTAGCTGTCCTGAGTTGTTTGTTCTAAGGACAGAATTGGCAATCATCTACTCAGTGGGACATCTGTGATTGATTTTTATTCATTTTTGCGCTAGAGAGGCTACCAGACGCGAGATGGCTGAGGGGCTTCTCTGTTGGAAACGTTGGAAACCGAGATTGTAGCTCTTTCTACATCCACTGGGGAATGGTGATACATTAAGAGCCAGGATATGATAATCGCTTTTTAGTTCCGGGAGGTGTTGATTCAAAGCACGAGCTTGTGAATGCGTATGGCACACCCAAGTGTCAGGCAATTCGCCAGACGAGTGCGGTCGAACTTGCCTGTTTTGTTCAGCTAGTGTCCGACTGTAAACGGTGAAAGAACAGGTTCACGAAGGTTGTTGAAACGTTGTCAATTTGTCCGATGTAAAGTCTGATAAACTCATGTGCCAGCCTGTCTTGATGGTGTACAACCCACCCACATACGCTACAGGCTGGCCATATTTTCCACAGAGTGAGAAGCAGATACCAAAAAATTTCAAGTATGCGTTTTGCTTCCGGTTCGCAATACCAGGGTGCATTCCACCACTTGCAACTCGTGTTTCAATGCACATCCGAATCAGCGCGCGGAAGTTGTACCGCAGAATGTTTTCACTAGTGGGTAGAGCACACTGGGCTGTGTTAGACTGTAACGTGCCATGTCAGATCGACTCACACTAGTCTGATTGAACTGTCCTCACATAACTGATGGAAGCATGTACATATCTTCGAGAAATACGCTAATTTGCAAGTCAGTTTGGTTTTTACGAGAGACTCAACTGAGTCTCTCGTGACATTGCAGTATATTTTCATGAGGGAAACTACTCAGAAGGTTGCTGAAAACTCCTCGACAGCCCAGGACCGGTTTCGTTCTTGTTGGGGCTCATCAGGTAGGCGCAGTCCCCGAGTTTCCGTCAACCTCGTGTTCTACCTGAAT